TTTTATTTATTCTTACCTTATTGCTTAACCGATCTTGATAAAGTTTCGCAACTTTTTAATAAGGCTCTAAAGCCATCATCCATATGGAGTAACGGCATTTAGCTATCATTATACTAAGTATACAGTATAAATACTGTGATGGAAGGTTCGATATCTCGGAGGATTGAGATTTAGTTGCCATTTACAATTAGCACACCAAAAGTTGTATAAAAGTTATACTTTATTTTAAGTAGTAAAGTAAGTACAGTGAGGTAGTTACGGTAGACCAGCGTGCAAGCTGTTGTGAGTAACGTGTGAAGTTGTACCAGGAAACTAACGATTTCTGATGTGGAAAACGGCGGTATTTATAGTTTAAAGATAGAGTACATGCAGAGAATAGGGTAGTAGAATTAAATACAACATATGCCATAACATGTTACAACATAGCTGATGATTATAGCAAACAGCGAGTACTGTAATAACTAAATACAGTAGCCTATATACGAATGTGAAGTAAGCGGACTGTAAATATGTCTAAATATAAGAGCAAAGCAGCATGTCTATATTTAAGAGTAGAATATAGTTACAGAATATTCTAAATACCCTACAAGTACCTGCATTGAGTAATTATCATAATTTATCCAAATAGTGTAGTATGAGGTAAGACTTTAAGCTTTAGTTTGACGCCAGATCTTAATGATGTCTGCCTTCCCTGCGCCTGTTTTTGCTAAAATAACCGCTGTAGCTTATTTTAATCTTTAGGGACGATATATTAATATAAATTTATTAGAAAAGCTAGTTATTTGATGTTCTCGTACAGCAAATTTTAGCTGGCAATAGGTGAGTGATCAAAATAACTCGAAAATCTTGTTTGTAAAGTCGGAATTTTACTATCTCTTTCTGATTTTATTTTTCAAGATCAGCATGGCTGGAGGTAATTATCGATGTACATTGTGCTCCTATAAGAGCGAAACAATTTCGGCGCGATTAAAAAGGGAGTTATTACAGTAATTATACCTAGCGCTTAAAAAATATTGATTACTATTGCATCATAATCCTTTAGCTGTAAACTAATCGTATAGACCGATTCTGAACTGCGATGAAGTACCGTGTAGAATTTGAAGTTGTTATCTATAATTCCTATTAGACTTAAGTTATGGTACCTAAATGTGCGTTAGCAGTTCAGAAAAGTCAGCGGAAAATCACCAGCTTTGATGTTCACTTGAATGTTATACATTTTATAATACGATTGTGGCGGATATCGGATTTCAGTAGTAAGTGAAGAAGTTAAAAAATTGAGATCGTATAGAACTTGTGTTCCAGGCATCTGAATTGGAGCTTATTAACATAATTGTTTGTATTTACTTACAAATCTACTACTGTATCAGCAAACTTCCTCATTCCAAGCTTTACAACAACTCATTAATAAATATTAGTTAAATTTAAACAATAAGAAATTATCTAAATAATTCATTCTAGTCGTTAGCTAAGTTAAATACGATAATACTTTTTAATTAATTAAGATTTTATTTGATTGTTAACCCTATACCACAGCCAAATTATGCATCTCTCTTGCCCTGTTATATGCAAAGAATTAAATCGCTGACCTTGACAGCAACTGCAAAAGTCAGTTCATAAATTACTTTTGTACTAGGATTCTGAAACGTATTAAAAATGCTTGGATCCTTATGATTGCTGTGTTGCTCTGTATTATAATCAGTAAATTTGTGCTTGTATGAGCTATACTATTAATTTTGGAGCATGGTTTCCAGATTTGCTTTTGCAATAATTATACCTAGTTATAATTCGAAAAGACAGTATTTTTTACATATTTGACAAAAGAAAGCACGCACTAAACAAAATTACGGTAAATTACTCTTTTCCGATATCTCAAATGTATTGCCTATTTCTCCTTCAGCGTTTGGCGACTAGCAATAACCTACTCCACTGTAATGAATAGCCTTATCATGTGTGATTCCACCTGCCAGTTACTCTACTTATGACCATTTTCATATTTTTTAAAGTAAAACGATTTTAATGTTATCAATTATCTTGTATGTTTTCTTTTTGGATAAATGATTGTTAAAAAATTAATTTTATGGCTCGAAATCAACTAGAAAATCCTTTTCTTTGAGTCTTTTATGAGCCAAATAACTTTTTATTGGCTTTGTATTTACACCTAACGCTAACCGGTATATTCTTTGATGAACAATTCTTTACTGGCAAGAGAAATATCGTACAGAAAACGTTGATAAAAATATTGATAATTAATCCTACCGAAAATGCTTGTATTAAGTTTACTGTTTAGCGGCGAATAACTAGAAATAATAAATTTATAGTGTTTAATTAACAAACGCAGTGTGGACGCATGCACATACGTCCATATAGGTGTGCGTATATAGACGTCTAAGGTGTAATAATATGGAAGCAATGTTTTTTATTTATTATAAAGTCATTTTATGGGTTTTACGTCTAAAGCGGCAAATTTTATTAAATATGTCGATGGATGTTAGACTCACTAGGCTTAAATAATTAAAAAAGTTGTTTAACTATGATCGCTTTTCAATTGCGTAAAGGATATACTGACAATAATAACATTACAAAGGCTGTCATGCATGAATATGATGTGCACTAATTCATGCAACTAGGGTTATGCCTCGCTTTTTAGTAATGAACTTCCGCGTCTATAATTAATCAAACAGCCACCACTTCAATACAAGCCCTGTTAAAAAAATATACAGACATATAGAAGTGAAATTTATTGTTAAATCTTGTCGAGATTATTTACTACCATTATTACTTTTGAAATGGAAACGTCTTAAATATTATAGACCGATAGATTGAAGTAATAGTAGTAAAAAGTATTTGCGTTTAATTAAGTTCAATGATATACGGTATTATACTCCGTTAATATAAAATTGTACTGGCTAGGGTTGTTTACAACTTTGGATAAAAGTTGATTGATAATTGTAAAGACAATGGTGAAGTATAAATACAATACTGTGCCCATCTATTGCACTATTAAATAATATTGGCATCACACTGCGTTTCTGCTTTTTCACTATAAACTTCAAATTGTCCTTTGTTTTCAGTCTCTAGTAATTCAATAATAATAGCATAAAACTTAGCACCGGCTACTATAGTAGAGTGAATATACTTAACGGAATAATAATAATGTGAAGATGACAGAAAAAATGATAACGTTAGAAAAAGTTTGCATAATCCGACTATAAGATGACCGATTGATCGTTTGCAAATCAAGGCGATAAATAATTCTTCTAAACTAGAAATCATGATGCAACTCTAGCTCGACATATATAAAAGCAACATTAGCACTAAATAATAATCTGTTGTATTCTTTTTAAGCGTGATAACTATTATTCAAGTGTATCCTTTCAAATGATAATCAACAATACGAGATGATAGAACTAACTGTGAAATCACATGGTAGGCCAAGGTCTAAATTAACATATTCAGAAAAGACATAAGCAAGGCAATGCATTCATCAGTTCTACAGGATATTATAATCATCAGTATTATCTTGACAGAATATGAATATTGAGTAATTGGATCGTAAGTGGATTCTATAGGATTTTCCAGGATGTTGTAATAGTTTTTATTATTTATTCTTAAGTGAATTTTAGAAATTTACCATAAAAACTAGCAAATGCATAGCTAGGTAAATAACTGTGATTTGATTAATCAGGTCGAATAATGTGGCCATAAGAGGAGATTTAAGATCCGTGTTTATAATAGCGACCATTTTCTTTCACGAGGAATAAAATACAAAAACAGATTCTTGCCGTGAAATAAAATTAGATTCAAGTAAAAATCAAGTAAATCAAGTAAAAATGATGCTCTTCACTCTCGATGATGCTATAATTATCTATTTAAGGCAAAAACTATATTAGCAATATGCAATTCTTATAATCTACAATACAATATACTTACTGTAGTGTTCAAATTGTTATCTAGACGTCGAATCGACTCTATTGCTTTATATAGTAACATTGATGATTTAATTAAAGCCACTATAAACGATTAGATCAACAGTAAAAGTAGGTTCAGTAGTCCCATTTCCACACAGTATCTATTATTGTATGGTCACGTTTTTTTAAGTATTAAAGGCAGTAGTTTAGATTGACAATATTACTACAATAGCTTTGATCATCAATAGCACTTGAAATATTTGCCCAACCCTCTTTTATCTTTGGTAATAACCACTGCGCCATCGCTGTAGCGTTGACGTAAGAGGATAAATAGGTTAGCCGAGAGAGTATTGAGGCAGTCCAGTAGGTAAATTCCTCATTGCAAGCGGACCCAAGCAAAGCAAATTGGTAAGTTGGCTTTGTGTCGTAGGTAACTATCAACTGCCGCAGTTATAATATTGTTGCCAGGATACTTGTTGAAGTTGATTTGTCCGCTATAAATTAGGATTTTTGAGCAGTGATAAAATTAAAACGAATGCGGAACTACAACATCAATCATTTTAGAATAACAATTTATACATTCAATGGGTGCGATAGATGTAACTTGATTAAGTATTACGGTAGTAGGAAATTTGGATACTATAAAATCACATTTTGCATTTATGATATCTGAAAAAAAAATGGAAGGTATTCCAATAAGTTGACCATATCATCAATAAAAGATGTTCAATATACTGTAGTAGATTAAATAAAGTAAGCAAAAAATATATATATATGGAAATGCAAGATCAGATGAGACAACTTGATGTCTTTTAAGTAGATAAATTTTTAAAAATTAAGCGCATAAAATGCATAGCTTGACATATTGTTTAATTGAGTATTATAGCTGAGAGGATGATGATACTTAATAAACCGCGTATTTTAACGACTTACTAGTATTTGTAATTAAAAGTGGCTAATTATACACGTAGATAAATAGATTTCAAATCGTTCATACTTTACTTCCGTGTATTTTTTCCATTAAGCTAAAGAAGTATCCTATCAAGTTGATCGTTTGCGGGCATATACTGTGTACACATACAAGATATCATTATGAGAAAGAAGCCAAGACTTAGTGAATTCATTAAAGAAAAATTGGAAGCTCGAACTATTCCCGGTTTGGAATATATCGACAGAGATAAAATGGTATTTCGTATACCGTGGAAGCATGGTGCTAAGCAAGGTTATCAAATTGAAACCGACGGTGTTATCTATGTCGAATGGGCTAAAGTTACAAATAAGTACAGCAAGTATTATAATAAACCTAATGTATGGAAGACCAATTTTCGATGTGCTATCAACTCATTGCCAGATGTGATTTGCCTGGATGATGAGCAAGATAAAGTTAATGGCAAATTAAGAAGTGATAAGGAATATCGTATTTTCCAGTTTGTCTCACCCGACAGAAAGCAAAGTAAGCTATTGGTATTTGCTAATAATTGGGATAGAATTAAAAAGAAGTGGAAGCAAATATGAATTTTTTTAGTGCTTGTTCTAGATTACCTTAGCTGTAAATTTCTTTAGTCGATGTTAATTCAGTATTCGTCTTGATTAAAAATAAATTATGGTAAGTGTAATCTATACAGGAAAAAGGTATACTGATCTCTTCCGTGTTTAACCTTGTAGCAAAGGAACGGAACTGCAGAAATGGCTTCAAGGTGAAATCTCAAAAGCAAAATATTGACTCTTCACGTTCAAGAAAGGTAATTCGTTATTTACAGTATTCTTGCTAAAAAGCAACATGCAGTTGTTTTAAAGCTAATTTACTAATGTTGATATCACTCATCACTAATGTAATATACGTTGATGCCTATACGTGTATATGATGTATACTTGTTATACTTTATTGCTGGGTTATCACGAGTGGCTGGTTATAAAGCCATTTCGATTTCCAATATTGAGATACAAATTGGAGTGTGCTGTTGGTAGCTGATAACATGATTTTACGGTAATCTAGTTGAAAAAGAGATAGAGCCGATCCAACCTTATTGATTTTTAATCATAATCGATTGCAAAAGCATTAGCTCTATTTCAACAACTTCAACTTCTTACCTATGAGAAATTTTATTCTTCATGTACACAATACGTAAACTATGGCTCATCGATAACAAGCATGACGTACTATTCGATTGGTTAGGAAAAGATGATTATTTCCTTATCATTTAGATTGCAGATTGCATCAACTCGCTGTGCTCCTTGCAATCATGATCAATTTTACACGTGTAGTCAGTCAATCAATGTCTTCATGAATCTTATTCAGTTTCTTCAAGTGATTCTCTCCCCAACTTATTTCAGTAAACAACCTCATCAAGATGTCGGGTGATCCTCCCCCCCCCCCAAAAAAAAAAAATTCGACCCGTGGCAAATTTCTCTGCAAAATATTGTGATCCATCCATGTCCATTATATCGGTCCGATCAATCTTTGATCGATGCAGTAAAATAAAGTACAGACATGAAGTAATTAATGGCTGTTGCTTCCATGATGAGTCAAAAAGAACCCTCTATTTGCGCCAGTATAGTTATTGGTGTGTTACCATGAAAAGATGGGTGAAATAGTGTTATGGAGAGCTAATACCGTAAGTAGTGACTGAGTACCTTATACCTGAAAATGGTCACTGGCAAAGAGCACTCTTTTCATGAATATTTTACGCGCAGCAATAAACACTTTTATTCGACTTTTAATCCTAGTCATCGTATCATCCAAGACGTGCATCATTGAAGCTTATTCTATCCTCTCCTCCTATCTATTCCTCTACCATCACATCGTTGCTCATGGATTTTTCTCTCTCTTTCTGGCTTTTTTTCCCTCCCTCATGACTCATTTTTGCATCGTCGCCTCTCCATTAGCGATTTACTTCCGCATACTTTCTGCAATCACCATTACAATAGCTGCCGCTCGCCACCATTACAATGCGGTACGCAAAAACAATAGTACTGGTACAGTACGGGTAATGTCAAGTTGGATGGTGTATTAGTCCGGTAGGCAGTACTACCTGCAGATCATTTGTGAACTCTGAAGTATTGGGGTTCAAGTTGATCGATGTTGCAGATACACAATTGCACATTGGCCGCCATCTCAACCAGTTGGAACCATATCCACCGGCGACAAATACAATAGCTTACTCTGGATTTCTTTGTTGCTACCGCTTGTTATTGTTATTGTTGACACAAATGCAATGGTCGCTTGGCTCCATGCCCTTACTGGATAACAGTCTAGAACCTATAGAGTAGACATTGATGTAGACAGAGCATTTTCAACAGACCTTGATAGCAAACTAGCGCCTGCTGGTATAGATTTATGTGACATCCATTCTAAATTTTGTACAGTAGGCGTCATTAGCGGCCTAAATTGGCGTGATCAAACTGAAGTATTTCATGCTGCACCCTACACTCTCTTGATGACGTCACAACACTCTGAAGCAAACACGTTTTCTCTTTTACACGAGCGGCATCGATACTGTATCATATTGTGCCAGGTATTGCCTTACGCACTCTACTCGACTGCAAGTTAGCCGCTTGGAAAAGAAAAGACAATTTGATCCAAATCGTCACCGTTTTAAAATGAATTTAAATCTTATCATTGCCTTAATCTTGTTCACTGGACTACCATAAACTTCCTCAAACAGTGTGATAAACGAGCAATCTACTTGGGTATCCATTTATTTATTTATTATTATTATTATTGGAGGGGGACCCAGTTAGCATGATGAACAAGGTTAATCTAGAGTGCACACCCCACACCCCTTATCTTCATCCCCCCAAAAAGACATCCTAGACTTTCCTAAATGGAGGGTAAGGGATTTATCAAGAAATCCAACTGAACAAGTAAAGCCTATAGTATTAAAGATATTCTGTCGTAAAGATGAAGGCAAGATCATTAAGGATAGATAGTGTTTATGCATAGAGTTAGAGTGTAGAGACGAAACACAGAGAAGTTAGCCTTGTTGGCACAGAGATTAATCTACAGTACAATACTATACAGTTTACGTTATATTATTAGATACGCGTACAGTACACTGGACATACGAGTACTTGTATTTTTGGATAGAAATTGTGCCAATTCATTTTTTTTTCTTCTTCCCAGTGAATAATGTCATCGTCATATCTATGATGTATCGCATCGTTTCTGATAATTACTACTAATAATAGAATTCGAATAGACTGCCATGGACTACTAAGCTACATCTAGTAGTCCATGGTGCTGCACTGTAAAAGAATTAATGAACGGTTAGATCGACTACTCGTATAGCGTATTCGAAAGAGTAGACATGACTTATTCAATCCTAAACTATAGCATGTCTTGAGCATAATCGTCCGCGGACTACTTACATAATGAGTATAGACGCGTATAATAATAATAACGAAGTATGCAGAGCACGTACAATTAAAATTAAAATTATAAGAATTCACCGGATGATAAGAATATTATATTGATTTTATCTATTTTTCTTTCCTGGGAATAGGTCAAGAAAACCAAGAAGTATAAAACCCAGGAAACTCGTAATGTAGGCCAAAATATCAATGCGGATCTTGCACCAGTAAAAACCGAATCAGGTAATAATTCGCCGGATTTGTAAACGTAATCCTTAATCGATGGCGCAAATTAGTAACAATAGTAGGGTATTGCTTTTGCTCGTGGATGGTAGGGTAAATATTGATAACAGTAAACTTTTTTGAACCAGATTCGTCTGAAATAACCCATCTCAATTCTATCGAAGAACAACTTTATGATGTTTCAATAGCAACTACTGATATACACTTGCAAAATTCATTTAGCAACATGACTCCTGATTGGAATGATTGCAATCGAGGTTAGTATTAAAACCAAGTGACATTTGCGTGAATATTCGGAGTTAGAATTAGTATTAGCAGATATCAAAATTCTTAGAGATAACACATAATTCAAATAATATGTTTCGGTGTACAGTATACTTACAAATAAAGTTCTTAGTTGGCCTCCGCTGTATCGATCAGTTGTAATTGGCACTTATGCGCCAATTCTTTTCTTCTATTAAAGCGCTGCCTACAGCATTTGACGGAGAGATTCGATTTGCTCATCAAGATGATAATCAAGATGGAACATTTAGTTACCATGATAATACTGGTAAATACTTAACATTTCAGTAGAAATAACTCACTTACGAACATGATTGATAATCTATAGAGCTTTACTTATGCCGTACCTTATATTATTAGCAAGCAAGCAGTGGCAATTTACAGTATAATACGATACTGATAGTATAATATAAACTTGATCAAAACCTTTACGTGTGTTACAAATCTTTTTAATTTATAATTTAAATTCCTCTTATGATTCAGCTACAAATGAAACGACAACGGTAAGAAACATACTGTCCATGTAGTATTTGTATAGTCTAATTAATTAATTATTGGAAAATATTTACCAAGATACTACTTTGATAATGATATTCGATTGAATTTAGTCGTTCTCTGTTTTGACTATATAGATCGAGCCATTGTCATCAATACCAGCTTATCGGGAAATTCTATCCTATATAAGACCCAGTGAGAATTCCGATGATGGATATATACCTTTTGATGGTTACTCTCCTAGCGAATATAATTGTAGCTATCATTATCCAGTCTGTCTCCAAGGCCATAATGCAAGTTTATGTCAAAGCGGATATTGAATTATGCCCATGATAAATTCTAACTTTATCTACACCATTTGGCGCACGTGATAACAACTCTACGATAAAAATTTCCGCTTAGCTTAATTAAATCTTCTCATTTCCCAGTAAATATAATTGTAGTGATATTAGGTCATTATGATATAAATCAACATTGGACTTCTACCAGCTTATTTAGATATAAATGTTGTGCTCTAAATAAACAAGCATAATCATTTACCGTCTATAGTAATTAGAATGAAGGCTTGTTACCAAGCCTATTTCACAAAGTATTAACTATTTCTCCTATAATTGTAATTTTTCTCCGAAAATTTCTAATTTCATTCCTTTACATTGCCAATTCCTTATGAAGAATCCAAGACATTGAGTACAATGTAAATATACGAATACATTATCATAACTATAAATGGCAGTTGTATATGTATCAATCAGTCTTGTAAAGCTTGATTTAATAAGTGTAATATCTATAGCTTATACTCATATGACCAGTATTTGTACGGTACCGTGAATGTTTATAACTGACAGGAATTTACTTTCTTAAATGCTTCGATTAATAAATTTTTCATTTGAAAATAATGTTATTTCTTTTATTATCAATTGTATGTACGATGCTATGATTGTAGTACATATTTGATCGGACTAAGAAACTTAACTAGTAGATAAAATAACCATAATTTGGAAAAACAGTTTAATTCTCCTTCAGTGATGATATACATTCGAAATTCTCAATTATCCATTAGATCCTCTTCATTCTATTACCAACATTATTAAGAAAGATTTGTGTTCTCGAGTAATCGTTACTTTTACTATCTTACCAATTATCGGTACGATGTAAAAATTCTTTCATCAGTTCTATTAAGAAAGATTTGTGTTACCGAGTATCATTAGTTACCATAACTGTCTTGCCGGTTACGATGCAAAATGTTGTCATCGTCAGACTTGGTGAGACTTAAGGGAACTAAAATAATACCGCGTAAGCTTGATTCGATTGTTTACAGTTTTATCCGCATGAAACACCCAGCTTAGGAAGTAAGATATGTCATATATTGTACGTTACCTTACAGTAGGCATTATGATGGAATACGTTTATTAACAGTACTAGATATGACTGATATTAAGTGTAGAACATCACGTATAGACTTGCAACGGATGCAAAATAATATTATTATTAACTGTAATGTATGATGAAACTAAAGTTAAAGAATTGCAGATTTTCGCATACACTAACCTATTAAACATACCGCCATAGAATAAGCATTGTGTAATGCATAGTGAGTTAGTAAGTAAAGATGTTCAGAGATGCTCAATGTTGATACTGACATAAATACACGCAATAATCATTTACATCTTAAATATGAATTTAGAATAAATAGTTTAAAAAATTTCGCCGACTTCGAAACCAATAGCGCGCACACCTATCGATCAGTTGTCAATCTAACTGTTTTACAAAATCATCGCCATTGCTCTGTGCCGTGAAATTTCTAAAGATCTGCAGTACTTTCTGGACAAATCTATTAATTAACCCGTATACACTAGGTGTACTCATGCACGTGTGTATACATACTGTCAACTTGTTACCGTATCGTTATTAGAAAGTTGTATTTATTCGTTATCACTCCTATTCTCGACGTAGTAACGTCTTAAATGTTCGAATTTAAGATCTACAGAAATCTTATTCTTTTATAAAGTTCGATGGCCTCACAATTACTTTAGTAACCATGCAGCGATAAGGGAATTCTGTCCTTTCAAGTGTTCGAATATTTTTCCTTTAATACGTATATCGAAGATTGTGAGATGAAATATATTTACCAAGAAAATGATCTCATCGATAGAGGATATTATCACAAATTTATGCTGCCTTAGATAACAGAGAATCACTTAAAAATACATGAAATATAGGACATTAAAATAATTTTATGCTTAGAGTACAGTAGAGAGCAAAAGACTTGAGTCATTAGCTCGCTTAAGTCATTTAATGCATCCCCAGATCGAAAAGACATTCGATCACATCAATTAATAAATCTGACATAATTTACATTTTGTTACAAAATGGCTATATTACAGATTTATTGTACTATATTTGTACAAATTAATAACCAAATAAACAATACACCCGGTAGTCTTAATTCCGGTTACAGTTATAAAGCAGTACTGTCCTATATCAATTATTCAATATTGCTGATCCTTCTCATGATTAAAAATTTCTCGCTCTGAAGCCACGAGGATTGTTTCCTCTCCCGTTGGTATAATTTCTTGAGGCCATTTGATTAAAAGGTCTTCTTTCATGTCGATTATAATTATTACCGAATCTTGAATTGTTATTAAAATGTGATGGCTTTTCGAAAGATGACGAAGTGTCTAAAAGTTCCGGTAATGCATCTGCAATATCTAGTTCTATATTTCTAGCATTTTTCCAATTTTCCTGCATAAAATTAGTTGAATAATTAATGATGATAATGGTAAGCATCATTAAGAAAGCATTCAAACGACCGTAAACATCATCTCACCTTTACAGTGTCGCAAAGATTACTTGGTAAATCGAAGACTACCCCTTTTTTGTCCTTACACATTCTCATTCCACGTACTTCCGCTTTTATTGCTGATGACAGCTCAACCTCAATTACTTTCCACATATATGATACGCTACGAAACTCCCATTGACTTCGCATAACATATGTTGTAAAGCCCTAATGATTTTCAGTAAAAAAATAGGTCAATAATTGTAGATAATCTCAACAAAAGTACAACGTATACTTACTTCTCGAGATGAAAGCAATGATCTGTTTGTTATTGACGTATAACCAGATATGTGCGCAAGTGCAGCAGATAGAGCTTTTACTGCCCCTTTAGTTTCAATGATTTCGCTAGCAATACTCTCAAAATGTACTAAGACCTCTGCAGGAACAGAATCTAGTGATTTAGCAGCATCTCGGGAGGTTGCTTGTATAATATCACCCAATTGAGGTGCTCCAATACGACAAAAGTTGATGCCTGCCTCACTTTCAATACTTTTTATTCGATCTTGATGTGTAGGCTTATAAAATGTTATGCAAATACCAGTTCTATTTGCACGACCTGTTCGACCAGATCTGTGAATGTAAGTATCGGCGTCCTAGTTGTTAAATTAAGTAAGTTTACTGTAAGTCTAATATTTACTAATTGATTCTTCCGCTGTATATCACAAGTGCAATAAAATGGTAGTATACGTATTACTTTTACTACTCTCTACATTTTCAATTCCGTAAATCAGAAAGATTTTTACGTTACTCCACCTTAGGCGGTTCGCACTGAATAACAAGATCGACTTCAGGAATATCTAATCCTCTCGCGGCGACGTCTGTAGCAACTAAACAAGGAAAATTGCCTTCACGAAATCCCTTTAGAGTTACTTCTCGCTGTGCTTGTTGGATATCTCCATGCAGTACCTGAACTTCCTTTTTTCAGTAAAATATATGCCATGTCACACATTATGTAGGATGCTTTTATATGAGTAATGATCTAATACTGAGGTATATTGTGATAGAATATTTTGATTTATACCTGTTTTAAAACCGAACTTAAAGCAAGTTCATTGGCTTCTTTTTTTGTAGGTGAAAAGATGATAGTTCGGGCATGGTCACCACCATAGACTTTAACCAGGTCGCCGATTGTAGCCGCTCGTTCATGGTAAGGGCACGATATAACTTTGTGCTATTTCAATTTAATTTGAAAGAAATGCAGTATATTTTCAATATTGCAAGCGGTTACGCGTACATTATACTAGCTATAGCCGTTGTCGATTTACCTCAACTGTTGTGGATGTGCGTAATGCATCTTTTCCAATGAGATCTACAATCTTTTTATCACTTTTCATATATTTATCTATAGTTTTAAGAGCCCATTTAGGCATTGTGGCAGAAAAGAGTAGCGTTTGTGGATGACGATCTAAAGTGGTAGTATTTCAAGAGACAATAAAAATGAGCGGCAGATAATAAAGTGAGTAGAGATATCTTATATATACATGAATAGCTAATACCTTTAACATAAGCATGAGAAAGTATTTCTTCTACAATATCACAAAAGCCCATATCTAGCATTCGATCAACTTCGTCAAGCACAACGTGCCTAGAATAGATACGTAAATTTTCAGCACATAAAATTTTCAGATGAGAATAAGATACATAGGTACAGTAAAATACTAATATGTAGATAAAAAGGCATAGTAAAACTAACTTTAACTTGGATAAAACAAGATTTTTACGATCGATATGATCTTTGATTCTTCCAGGTGTACCAATCACGATATCGATTCCATTTCTTAGATGATTTTCTAAAAGTTTGTAGGAATAGTGTTCAATACAAAACAAAGTTTTATACATTGCTTCCAATACAATTGATTCCTAAAATAGTAATACCTTGCTCGGCATAAGGAACTCCTCCATAAATGCAGACTACTTTAAGACTTCCAGATAAAGCTTTAAATTCTGATGTAATCTGCCAATGGTTTTAAATGAATTACATTTATTTTCATCTCAATATCCAATTCATTAACAGAAAATTTTTTAAATAAGACTTAGAATCTACACGTCGTGTAGATGATAATCGAAAGCACCGTAAATAATCTGTCTTGCAAGATGACAAATGCTTATTTCATTTTGTGTGTTTAAGTACAAACCTGAATAGCTAATTCTCTCGTAGGTGCTAAAACTAAGACCTGTTATAGTTGATTAAGAGTTAGAGAAAATAACTGATAAAACTTGTTAATGCAATTGACTTACTTTAGGAGGTCGAATTTTATCGTCGGAACGTTTTTTCTTAATTAACTTTTCCGTAATAGGTAAAGCAAATGAAAGCTACCAATAGCCATGATGTATCACGAATTCATGCAAAATAAATATCAACATTAAATCTTTGAACGTGGTGGGATCTTGTCATACAGAAATAGTTACATAGGTGCATTTTAATTCTCATACTCTTCCTATCTTTTATGTAACACACATCATATTTATAAAGCGTGTTATCAGGACTAAATATAATAGTTAAATCACTGAAATGTAGCCTTTACGTTGATTTGGAAGGTTAATTTTCACATTAATTACCGTTTTTCCAGTCCCAGTTCCTACATTTAAATACAGGAGTAAGTCAACAATCAATGGACAATATTGAGTAAATTTTTTCATTTTACAGTTAAGTAGCCGTATGTTAGTACTAGAAACCGTAAGATTCTTAATACACAATAATCGTAACTCTTACTTGCTTGACCGATGACATCTTGACCATCATAAACATAATCAAAAGTTTGGGCTTGAATAGGAAATAAGTATGTAATTCCTCGTTCTGGAGGTAAAATAAATTCATTATACTCATGGTTATATTGAGGTAAGTATTGTGCAATATAATTTTAAGCTTATTAATCACAAGTGCAAATTGTATTCTATTTCTAATGAACACGCATCATACACGTACAATTCAGAAGATTTCGAATATACTTCTCTTACCCTTTAGCGAATCGGCAATAGCGGATGATATTCTAAACTTTTTAAAATCACCTTTTTCCTCCATACTACCAGACTAATCGGTAAAAAATATTCAAAATGAATAATAATTATCTAATAATACATTGCATCTAAATATCAGAAACTTTGCAATACATGTAATATTAAGGTTGTCTTACAACATAGTTTATGCGCACACTAATAGAAACATAGGTATATTTTAGATGAGGTCAAGATTTAGATATAGCATGCTTGTGTTTTAACTAAATTGCAGTAGGATCGAATACTGTAGTCAGTACATTAAGACAGACCGTTTCAGCACTGTAAATAAACTTGTACAATATACTATAGGCTAACAACAGTCAAGATATACGCACATCGTGTTCGGGTAGTTCGCTGTCTCCATTGGATTTTTGACTTGATCGATGTTTCTTATGATTTCGTCCATCGGGAGGGGATATAGCTTTGCGTTTCATAGTCGAGGTATTTTCCTATTTTAAAATTATTATTAGCGATCATCCGTCATCGCGGTCAAGAAAGTGCTACAAGATATAGTCTCAAACACAGCAATCAATTGCAATGGATCACTACTAATCCTGGTAATGAGAGTACAGTACGTGCTTTAGCAATCATCCTTCACAGTAGTAAGCAAAGCGAGAACTCTGTCTACAAACACAAGTAGACCACTTGTTACTCATTACACACCCACTATCCCAGGCATGAGGATTATAAGGTAATGTTCTAGGCAAAGCTTTGTCAATGTATCTAATATGTATATATATATATATATAATGCACTGTATATGAAATGGCCACAAATAGTACAAAAGTACAGTATCTAAAATTTGCTTGAAGTTATCACCATCTTTAGCTTTCATGTTTCGCAAGCTATAGGAAAAGCAAACAGGTAGAACGACTTTCTATAGTTTACGAATAACGAACAATGACGATAGACTACACACAGTTCAAGTTGCCAATTGGATCATGCATCCACTGGTTCAACGAAATATCATAAATTAATCGTAGATGATTGAATTTCAGGTAAAATTATGATCAATGACACTGTTGTAGATCAGCCATGCTCTGTCTATAAATCCCTATACATATCCCCATACATACTATAAAACGGTATGTTGCAGTATCTAACTATACAATACAGTGTTCAGCTACAGTACTGGATATTGGTGTGTCTATCTACAGTATACCAAATCACCAATACACGTGTTTGATATTCATCAGTCATAGTGCAAGTAGTACATTAGAGACTCTGAAAGGAGAGATTGAGTAAAATGGTAAAACGATGGTTATCCTATCGTCGTAATCTACTGTACATAAAAGCGAACAGCAAGTCTGGCAAAGTTTCAAAGTTCTACTATTTAAAATTGAATTTATTTAAAAACATTTATAATATTTCTTCAAAAAAACCGAATATTTTCTATAGATGACCAAATTGATTCGATCGCGCACTTCCAATATCTATGTTAATTTGCATGAACTGCAAACTGTAGCCTTACTCTAGTTTTGATTTTAAAGTGATTAGGACTCAAATTGTTTGTACAGTATAAATTTTTTTACCTCATGATTCTGTTTCATCTTGTTTTCTGCCTTCGTCAAGCGATCAAACTATATATTATATACTGTACAGTGTACAGTATAGTATTAAACTGGAAATTACTTCTTGCAGGATGAGCCGGCCGGCCAGGCAGCCAGTACCGACGACAGACGTACGTACGTACGGTACATTGAGTATTCATCGGTTGCACGTGTCTGACTGGAAATCTGAAATGCACACCAGGTCTGGGGACTAGTGACCTGGGCCAACCGGTAGTACTGTCTCTAGTTGATACCGACTGACATTGGTTACGACATCAAACATTAATTTATTATATATATATTGCGCGTTACATTTATACATATTATAAGAGAATATACGCGTATATCACAGTTGTACAGTGAATTTTAACTTAGATACAGTAGGAAAATTTAATTTGAGAGAAATTTATTTTACTTAATCATAAGTGCGTATTACAAGTCCTTTAAGTATGAGTACAGTTACACTGCAGTATTCTTGTAATGAGGAGAACACTTTATTTTTAGACATAAAAATCAGAATGGAATAGATGGGGGGGGGGATCAAGTCCAATAGTCTTGCACTGCCAACGTTAACATTATTAACTGGTACCGTAACCAACAAAGATCAAGGATCAAGACTAAACTTGTTATTACGCTTGCGAATAGAAAGCTGCGCCATAGATTACTTACTAAATATCTAGTATTTAGTAGTCCATGATTATGCGTACTCTATTTGATTATCAGGGGAAAGCTAATCGAAGTGTCCTTTTCTGCAAAACGTGAGTAGTTAGTGACTTGCTATAATAGTAAAACTCACGACTACTACTTGCCAGGATATTTTTCTCAGCATAGTAAGTCAGTAGCTATAATATCCTTATTGCCCTGTCATCGAACAATTTCTATCTTCGCTAGAGTAACCTATGCTTATCGTTGCTAGTCTAAATACTGGCCATTTAACCGTAGCCTTTTATAACGATCATGCTATCCAGTGTCAATAAATATTGTGCATATACGAGATCAGAATGAGTATTAAAAGGCATCAACTGTACGTATAAACAACCACAGTATACAGTACTTCGATCTTAAGAAGAGTACTACTATTAAACTATCAACAATAGGATTGTATGGAGCACTGGTAAGCAGTGGTGTTGTGGTCAATCGCACATACCTTCTGTGAGTAAAATAAACATGCTCATACCGATCCAATTATGTACGCTACATTCCGTACACAACACGCGTATAGTACTGTATACGCAGTAGACTGATTTATAATAGTAGGAAAAGCGCTTTATTTTCGTCGAAATTACAGGATTGTACTACATTATATGGGAACTACTAATAACATTTCGGGTTAATCTATTGCAGTAAATGAATACGACAGAAGAGGAGAAAGTTATGAAGCCTCATTTATGGATTATCAAATGAAATAATCATCAGACAACTTAGTACTATGTATTGATTTCTTTAGTTATGCTCTTAAAGTAGACCACAGTCTGCGATCTTGATCTTCTTCTTAGTTTTACCAGAGCTTGATCCAAACGATTCCATAGTAGAAATGACATCGTGGCCGTCAACTATCTTTCCAAATACAACATGCTTTCCGTCCAACCTGGAGGGAAAAGATGACTTTTAAATTCAAACTAATAAATCGTTTAAACTGCTACAACAGTTTATAACTTACCATTCAGTTTTAACCGTACAAATAAAGAATTGAGAGCCGTTCGTATTTTTACCAGCATTAGCCATAGATAGGATACCTTACAAAAATAAAAATATGGTTTGCTTAATAAAAACTATTTAGTCCGCAAGTGAAAAGTTTGTAAAGAAACAATACCAGGGCCAGTATGCTTCAAACTGAAGTTTTCATCTTCGAAGCGGTTTCCATAGATTGATTTACCACCTGTACCATCGCCTCTGGTGAAGTCACCTCCCTTTATCAAGAAAACAACGTTTTATCGTAAATAACAGAATAATACTATGTTTACTTATTCAAGTCTTGTTCACCCACCAAAATTACTTAGCTACTAACAGTTTTATTACATTACATTAATGGTAGGGTCTGCCTTGATAAGTTATATTGATCATACCACTATATCAAAGCACCCACTGTGACTTCATCTGCTAAGTGTAATCTTTCATATGCATTGGTTCGCATGCTAACAATATATAACGCAATACCAAAATATACCTGGCACATGAAATTGGGAATGATACGATGAAAAACACTGCCTTTATATCCAAATCCTTTTTCACCAGTGCATAAAGCCCGGAAATTTTCTGACAAAAAATAGCATATTTCATTTTAAATCAAGAGATGAGCATGGCTGTTTATACTACTGTAAGCTAGTGGATTATTCAATCACTTACCAGCAGTCTTTGGAACGACGTCGGACCTTAGCTACAATAGTAAATGTAGAATTTAGTACCATATTAGTATATATATATATATATATTCTACTTTTAAATCTACTTTTATGCTGTAGGCTTCGCTTGAACATACTATTCATTATTCATATGGCCAATATGAAACAGTAATACAGTATGATTATTTAATCGAACATTGATAATAAATAAATTAACAGTATTTGATTCATAATTTGAATACATTTTTATACTATATCATTATATCCCGTTATTATCTGCACTAAGGTTCTGTGAAATGTCCATTTCTACTGCATAATTCGACCTGAAAATTTGTCCATTTTTTTCTCAGAACTGGAATCTACACTGGTGCTGCCCATTTCATACCCAGTGTCTCATGATACTGTATCACTGACTTGAGACATTTCAGTCAATCTCATGTGAGACATTGAATAAAACCGAATCAGTCTTGTTATATAGTACAGTAGCATGTCGTAGTTATTACCAAGAACCACTTCCATTTTCTTCCTATCACTATGGGAACCGCGAAAAAAAAATATGTACCATTGACTGTAACCAGAGACTACTCCAGTAAGAATCTGGCCTATGGTTAAGATGTGGTCCGGTATGGTCCGGAAACTGAATGTACGGTACCGTCCTGTATTGTCCTATTGGGCCATGCTACTGTATTTTCAGTATGACTGACGCTGAGGGGAGTACTGTACATTGTACTGTAAAGTACAGTACAACTGTACCGTTTTTCTTTGATCTCCGTACTGTAGAAGAAATACCCTCTACTCGCACAGTATGACGGTCCACAGTTCCTTTTTGACAGTAGCTTTGCACTCGTGTGTGACTCAGGTCAGTCAGGTGAATTGAATATTAATATGATTTCAATGGAGATTGAGGTCATCACACTGTGTCAGTGTGTTGATACGTACTGTACGTACACACAGTCCAGTACTCTCTGAGCCGTATGGCCATCTTTTGCCTCTCTCTTTTACAGTGATGACCACGTTGCGTTATTTGCAAAGACTCCCTAGTGAGTTTAATTTCAAAGCCTGCTAACTGAATACTACAGTATATAATATACATATGCAGTTGTGAATAGCTTGCCAAGACAAGTTATTATTCTACAATAAAAAAAAAGGAAAAAAAATGGACGGAGCTAGAAAGTAGACACAAGTCTGTTTGATAATGCATGATTGGTGTCGTTGACTTACTGACTATGAGCTCTATTGTTCATTGCTACTCTAGTAAAATTGAAAATTATTTCAATGTTGGTTGCTTAGTTCCTGCTACCATATTGTATCGGATTAATTCCACTTATCAATCTACTTAATCGGTCACTTCAACATCACATCGATCCCAAGAGGAAAGTCCATACTTATGCAATACTCTACTCTATACTTTTATTTACTGTATATTACAATTGATTTATTTTGCTCTAACAGTCAAGGTTATTGCTTACTGCGTTACCCTTTTATTCTTTCCGTACCCTATCATGTCAGGGCATAACTATCTACATTGACGTCAAAAACGCATGAAGAATTCACGCCTCTTGCAAGCCTCAATAGCTCCTAAAAACTGAAGTACTAATCACAGTTTCTAATATCAAGTTGATAGAATTCGTTGCTAAAGCTAAAACCTTTATCTCTTTTATTTTATTCAAGTGTAACTTTCCGTATACAGTATATTGCAGTTTGTTCTCAACTGCACGCTAAAGTACAGGACTGTGTCAAAAATTGGATTCTTTGTCTACAAATTTATTGATAGTATTTCATCAAGAGCAAAAATAGCCAACACTGTAATCATTTTATCCTAAAAAAAGATATTTTTCTGAATATCCAATTCATTCAATTTTCAGATCATTTGTTGGAGACAATTTGCTGACAAAAAATACCGTAGTACTGTACCAGGTCACAGGACAAAGCTGCAGACAACTCCAGTAGTACACTGAAGTTGATCGGTACATGAACCAGATACAACACTCGACGTAAGTCTAGTGTTGCTGTGGCCTGTTCAGCAAGGCTGATTATAGGAACGCATCCGCAAACAGAATTTTCCAACGACACTTTACCGTCATGCCGCTAGTAGTACAACATATGAACATAGAACACTCCATTCGATCCCACCTCCAATAGTACCTTTACTGTATGTTACACAACTGTAGCAAGGAAGCGTTTTAAAAGCGCCTGATGAATTTTCACGAGCAATAGCGCGTATTAAAACACGTTATTACAGTATTTCTGTATGCGAATTCACAAAATCGATATTGACCGAATCAAAAGGTACCGCACAGCATTACTAACCAGCAATAGTTTGATACTGTACGATTTCAATCTCCGAGCTCATACTACAGTATAAATGCTAGCTTTCAAAACAATTTTGTACACGAGCATTACAGTAGTTGCCGGCTCTGAAAGCGTAGCTATAAAATCTTAGAAATAATGGAAGTCTGCAGGATAGTAAGGTAACCCCCAATTTTCTATGGAACAGATTCCTGGACGATAATCACTTTGCCTAATAGACTGTCCGTGTTGAAGCGCTTCAAAGCGCTCAAGATGATTAAATGACGGCAAACCGATGACCCACAACATTGTAAAACAGTAAACAGAACTAGTAGCCAGTAGTGACCAGTACTATGGCATTATGGCCATAATTAGCAATTACGGTTCAACTTGATGCATTTATTTTTTCATACCTCAACAATAAAACGACCAATTGATTTTCCATCGGCCTCAATATCAAAAAAGCAGCGTGGGAGAGACATTTTCGAATTGTTTCCAATATTACAGTACACTTTTAGATGGTAAGATATGTTCTTTTTTCGAGGCCTTTGAACGTACGCACGAACTAGCCTTGGCTTGAAAAAGTTTTCTGAGTGGTCTGTTGAACTGTATCTTGTATCCGTGATGCTGAAGCCGATTCTGATACAACCCGTATTTGTCCGTTAGTCTAGACGTCTGTACTCTACACGGCATGCTCTACAGTCTACAGTATATCTATACAGTACAGTGGAAAAGGAAAAAGTTGTCTGAAATTGCAACTCTGTACGCTGTGCAGTACAGTACAGTACTGTACTGTACAATTTCTCCACAGAAAAGTTGGCACTTTTGGGCCACCGTATTGTACTGTACGTATAGTACTGTAGACCAGGGACTACAGTACTGTACTGTACTATACTGTACGCCGGTACGGTACAGTTACTAGTTGTGCTCAACCCCCCAAATTTCCCTCCTTCCTCACCGTCCCTTACGACGACTGCTTTCTCCGGCTTTCCATTATTACAGTTACTGTGCTGTTGCTGAAATTTTTTTGTTGAGTAGTCCCTAGTGTACACTACTGTACGTACACTGTCATTACAGTACTGTACATGTGGACTGACAGGTCTAAGTACTGTACAATAGAAAAAACCTACTAGTAGCTCTTTTCTACTACACCTGTTCGGCGGAGACCTTAAAGCTACTGCTCATTGGAAGCGTGGTCTTGTGGATAATCATGTGACTTCTTATTTCTAGATACTGTACCGTACCGTGATACCGTAGAACACACAGTACAGTACTGTACGCATGTGATTAATTTCGACCTAGTGTACAGTACGGTACAGACAGTTAGGTATCCGCTTAACGCTTAATACCCATGCCTAAGTACAGTACAGTACGTACAGCAAGATAAAACGGTACATAATTTAATGCGTAATTTTTATAGCAAAATCCATCCAATTTTATGAGTGGATAGAGGCAGATCCGATCAACATGTTTTATCGATTGATATCAATTTGACGTAAAATTGATTATTGGGGAATTGATTAATTAATTATGAAGTATTCTATTTCATTTTTCATAATCTAGTACCAAATTAATCACCCCGCTACGTTACAGTACTGTACTAAGAGATGATGCAGTGCAGTACAGTATAGCGGTAGGGTACTGAAACTTGTACCAAGGCGTAAAAATGTCGATACCGTTATTCAGTCGGTCAGTTCCGAGCCGACCTTGATCGAATAGCTCAAAAATTGGCTTACACCAACTGCCTGTACATGTCAAACTATAGTACTGCTAACTAGTGCAGTATTTTGTGCATCTCAATGATGTGATGCTTCAACTAGTCCACTATGCTGTACAGAACAGTAGTAATATGCAATTGAGATTTTGTCGATATTCTGCAATGGGGTAACGAATGATTGTAAGTAGTTTTGATATTTTCCGATACCACTACTGTAATGAGTTTAGTAGTTCTATAGCACACCCCCCTCTCACTTCTCCCAGAGAAAATTGATTAGTTTATAGCTAGTTTAGTTTTTAGAATTTTAGTACTACTGTACAGATACAGAAGCTTTTTTACAAGATCAGCTACTCACTGTAATCGTACTGTAAACTCTAATTTGTGCAGTTCAGTGCAGTACCGTATCCTGTATTAGTGACAAAGTGTTACCAGTTCTATCGCTGATGCCTGATAAAGTACGAAAACCTGTGCCAATAGATATTGTAGGTTTTAATTATCTATAGTACAGTTAAATATTGTAAAATGAAAAGTGCGAGTACACAAAGTATACCGAGCGTGAGTTCTACTTGTAATATATATATAGGGAAATATATATATATATAATTAGGTTAGGGTTAGTTCTACAGTACAGTAGTCCATGCAGTCTGTATAAACAGACTTATACCACAGGCTACTAAAGAAGGAACACTAGCACTGCTTGTATACAACTAACATTTCCAAAGTACTAAGATTAGTCCAGTACCTACAGTATAGTATGACATAGAATAGCTATGTTAGGACCATAAGGAAGAACTACAATGGTTAGGACTTCCAAGTGTTAGGAAGACTTGCTGTAGATTCTGCAGACGCCCTAAAACGCCGAGAGTCTTTAAAGGAAGGGATTATCTATGAGAATTTCTCATAAGAGGTTGAAAAAAATACTTCAACAAGTTCGATAAAGTGTGACGTTTATAAAAACATTACAAACTCTTTCTGTTGAAAATAAAATTCAAACTTTTAATCCATTCTTACAAAGTGATTTCGTATCAAATTTAACAAGTTCGGCTATTCATAACATGAATTAAAAATTAATACCAGAATTGGAAGGACGTTTCAATCTGGTACTAATAACGAGATGAGTAGTTGCAATTAAGTCATAATCATAAATTAGTAAATTCATTTAAATGTTACTATTTTATGTATAACATAGATACTATTTGTAAAAAATTAGCCCAGAGTAGTGATTATAGTCCATATACTGTATATGATAGCATCAATACAAAAATTTAAGTTGGATTCTCTCAAGGATTTCATATTACATACAAATTTTACTTGAATAGCATCCAAAAACAAATAAATAGTCAGATAATTCGAAACAAAGACATACATACGTCAAATATAAAAATGATAAAGAGCGCTTTCGGTATTGGAGTATTAATGTATTTATATCAGATATTAATTCAGATAATCAAAACCATGTTACTAATTCAGTAAAATGCGTTCGCTTAATTAACTACATAGAAATCGAAGGAATATCGGCAATGATTATCCTAAAAGCCGGCTTTATAAGACTCATCGACATGGTGAGTTCAGCTCAGTAGACAAGCCAATTTACCATACCTTGAAGTATATATTCTAAAACTGAATGTAGATGTTAAGAATTATCATTTCAATTATCATTGATCTCATCTCAATGATGATAGTATGCATCCAATACAGCTTTTAGTAGATACATGATAACATCATATTTTAACATCAAGAAACACATGGGTTACTTATTTAATAATAGCCCGTTATAAAATCATCGTAACATAATTGAAATAAATTAAGTATTATACAGTAAAGCAGCCTTAGCCACTACCATAAAAATGCAATTAACATATAAATATTTCGGAAGATCATTCTAAGCAACGAATTCTATGTTATCAAACAATATCGTACTTAGCTATTTACAGTAGTTAATTTTATGGCAATGCAATACACCCATAACTTATATAAACAAATTCAGATAGAGTTTGAAACCTAGTAGCAATTACGTACATAAAATCGTTGTACTAGAATAGATAAATGCAGATGGGTAACAAAGTACTGAAAAATATTATCAATAAAAATTACACATGTAACCGCATTAAACCGCTCAAATAGGTAATAATTAAATCAGATAATACTAAGCTACTATCAAAATAATTAGATATCTATCTTAACATTAACATAGAGACTAAATTTAATAGAATGTTAAAAAACAGATAACAGTAATCGCTATACTGTCCTGATCGAATATAGCTTCTGTCGAGGCTAAAGCTCATCATGTATCTACATTACCCATTTCCAAGGGCTGAGCTATTTGTAAGTGTATATTCTCTTCGGTAACAAATCTGATAACTATGCTATTTAAATCAAGCTATATTTTTATCGTATATCAACGCAGCGTTTTAATTAGTACAACAGCTGCTGATTAAATTTAAACCATATCTATTAAATCCTTATCAATTAGATTTATGTTTGATTGTTAATGGAGGTTTTCTCCATAAAGATATATTTAACCAAACGAACCATAAATTTATATGTTGTTTTGCTGGTAACTGACGCGCCATACCGGCTTACGTTGTTCTTCTTCAATTGAGGTAATAAGGCTATCGTACATTACCGCAATATTACCTTTATCCAAAATGACTGCAATGGTTGGAGATTAAAGAAAAGTCAATTATATATTTTTGTCTTGCGTTCGATAAAACACCTTACAAATAAGCCGTTACTAAACAATCTAAGCGTTAATATCTGTAGTTATAAAATCGTATGTACTATAAAGCTCTTACGAACTCGTTACATTAAAGTATGAATGATCTTAAAGTTACAGTCGAAATATAGTAACTTTCAATTTCATACGTTTGTAAATTGTGTCCTCGACATCGCTCCAAAAGGATATTTACTTATTATTAACATATCTTTATTGATAGCTAAGGTATTTCTAATATAAGGTTGCATTACAATTCGAAGTTAACTTTCAAAATATTATTGCACTTCGCAATTTTAAAATATGAAATACAGTAGAGCTGTCTGAGACTGTCCTGTACTAAATTTTGATCATATCATATCACCATCAATAGTAGTATCGTATTTTCAAATAAGAATTAAACTACTATTTTTAATGTTTTGCAAAAAACAATTACTTTCATTGAGATATTGCAGAGCTTATGTATCGCTATAAGTACCACTGTATTGTAATTACCTGAAAACTTATCTTGGTAGTCTTGCTCAATTTTTAACATGGCATCGTAGATATCTTTAGCTTGTTTACTAGAATATTTTTCTGACTTGAAACGAAGATCCTTTTGCTCTCTTTAAAAAAAATGTCAAACTTTCGTTAGATTTCACACTCCTCTAAGTTACAACTAAATCTATTGGGAGATATGATCATTTATAATACATGCCTTATCTGCTTAACGGATTTAAACTTTAAAAGTATAACAATCGGATACAAATCCCAACTTTCAGCACGTTCAATTGCAGAAGGTGATAATTCAAGGATACAGTGTTTTTTTTCCTGAGCAAAACAATACAAGCAATAAAGAATGTTAATACTTGGATATCACAATCTTTACAGATATCTACAAATGCATTGTAATAGAAATCGAACTTACTTCTTCTGCAACTGTTTTTATAGCTGTCGTTCTAAGGCAGTTGAACGAACCATCATCTATTTGTTCGTAATCTAATACGCTCTGATCTTCTAATCCTCTTTCTATAACCTGTATTGTGGTCTTTTGATTCTCTATTATAGATGTGACCAGTCAAATAAGTCTGTCGGTCAACATACATCACATGCCATAATACAACATTCACTCTATTTTATTTATACAAAGTAAAAAGCTCCCGACCTGTTATCGAGATCAACAACTTACCAATTTTAGCACACTGATATTTATCTGGATAATCGTCAATTAGACGATTGGCTACCGCCTTTGCGTACGGTCCGAAAAGGACAATTGGCCGTGGATATTCCGCTAAAAGTAGAGCAAACATAAATAAAAATTGTAATCTTTCAGACATGAGTAAGGTTTTTCAATGAAAAACACGCACAAATAGTAAAAATATTCTACAGTAGTGTTGATTAATTTCATAGTTTCGTAAAATTTTATTCTTACATAGATATCGATCGATTTTTTCGTACGGAAAGATTTCTTGTACAGTTTGTGAATCTCCTTGCGTAACAGTACTATCCCGATTTAAATTACTGCTGTTTATCTTATCTTGAGTTTTTTTCCGACGAAAAAAGTTGCGCTTATTGTTGATAAAACTAGAACGTTTTGATGATTTACTTTCCTCTTCCATCGCATTGTCAACTAGTTGATACTGACTCGAGTCATCAATCCTTCAGTAATTAAAGTACACAAAGCATAGACCGTCGTGCATTAGAGTCTATTCAAAGATAATTAAAATTTTACAAACCATTTGCTGTAGACAAAATGAAGTTATTAGATCTCGTGTAGACAGAGTCGCCACTAAAATTAAAAATTGCAACTAATCTGTTAATATATTAAGATCTAACTTATCTACTATAACTAGATGTTATATTATTCGAGAAGCTAGAGCTAATTTCATTTTCTTCCAGCGTAAGCTTTAAAGATCTTTAATTAGCATAAATATTATACGCGTATTCACTACCCTCTTTATCATAATAAGCAAGATCGCATCACGTATGCAATTTAGTAGAAAAAGAAATGGGGTATACCTTGCAATCAAATCTAACATTATACTAAACTTACTTACTATAAAATGTTCACGTCGTGATCTATATCAGTTTTTCACACTACGATAATAATACGGGCAACGTATGTACAAGACAGTACCACGCCAATAGCGGTAACAAAGAGTAAGATTATAAAACAAATTTTTTTAAATTACCTTATTTTGCTAGGTATTTTTCCAGTTTTTCTATAAGCGAATCGTTCATCTGCTATTATCGTCGCTTTCCAAGAGCCAATCTTATTTCCGTAAAGAGTATCCGTAATATGTAAGACATCACCCCTTCGAAAACTTAATTCACCAGAGTCCCCGCTATTATAATTAAATAAAGCCCTATACGCACAATTGTCAGAAGCTTTTAGACTCATTAATTTGGATGAGATAGAATCACATCTAACTTTACCTAACATAAAATGAATCCTTCATTTGCTGTTCTTCAACAATACGATGTTCTAAAAGATTAATTATTTTCAAAATTACATTTTCATTAATATTTTAAATAGTACTTCGAAATATTCGAATTGGTAGCATTGAAAACGCAATATACTTTGCGCTACTAATAGTGAAACATCTTGGTAACGTTTCCTGTAGCGTAAAGTATGTTATAATAATTATATTGCCACACTGTGTAGTTTGCGGCTAATTTCTTAGAACTTTAGCTAAACTTTTTAGAGAAAAAAACTTGATCTAATTGACTTACTCTGTGGACAATGAGCAACAATAAACGAGTTATTTTCAGGTAATCGAGCAAGTTCACGGATAGCGCGTTCAATGGTTAAATTTCTAAAGTCTATTTTATTTAACTTTTGAAAAATTTGGCGAAGTAAGAAAGTAAAAAATTTGTATTAGAAATGATATCTTATGTAATAGTTCGCGAACAGTATTGAACAGTTTCACTAAACATAGTACCGTAAGTCAAATTAACTGATAACATCAGTCTATAGCTATCCGACTTACCTCGATGATCTGGTCGCCAATTTTTAAGGTGCTTCCAGCTGGTTGATAAGCTATATTGGTAGAATCTATTTCAGAGATAAAAATGCCAGCAGCATTACCACCAACAATACCAATTTTAACTTTGCCAGTACGTCTAAAGTTGACTATTCTTGACGAAACCGGTTGTTTCAGTGCTTCATGTTGAATGCTGTATTTGAGGTGTAAGTAAATAGGATTAGAACTATTCATCCAAGTGATAGAAGCGATACTCTAATAGTACAAGGAGATTCTATAAACTGTTGTATATTTATAATGATTTAATACTATAACTAACAGGAAGGCACTATTTTTATCGTTGTTAGTAGAGTGAACTGATCGAATAGAAGATCCGCGACTTGATGCAATCGATGAAACATGTTTTCTTCTCCTCGTAACTGGTGTTTGCGGCTGACTGGTATCAGAGCTATGAGAAAACAAAAGTTGATAAAATGATGTTTTGCTACGAAATACACAATAATAATATTAGAAACACAGCTAAATTAAGAAATCAATCCTATTAATCATGAATATTGAGAGCGATAAACATACCCAACAGATTCGTTTAAAGGTTTGTATCCTGTAATTATAATTATGATAGACATAAGACAGTAAAAGATTAGTGCACAAGTAGTATTGTATTACTGTACTGCACTATCTGATGGTTTGATCGTCAATATTTCTTGATATCAATTTATTTTTTAAGTAATGGGCATTTTGGCTTTACCTTGAGGATTATATTGCACAATTAAATACAAATCTTTGCCTTTCCCTGTCAACACTTGTTCGGCTTGAGCCAAGTCGGCAGTAGTTAAATCAATATCGTTACACTATTGAGATAGTGACAGATTACATCCGTATTTATGGGATAATAATATTTATATTTACTAGGTAATGGTTAAGTATACTAATTAAAGTCATTCGAAATCAAAGAAATTAAAAATGCTATACCCGCAATAATTGATCACCAGGGCGTAATCCAATCTTAGATGGTCTACTTTCGCTATATGACATCGATGTAACGAATACCCCACCGAATGCGCTGAGGGCTATGCAAATATTTAAAGGGAGCATAGCTTGTTTTACGGTAACGTATCTTGGATCAGTGGCTCTGTTATAACAAATTTACGAAATTATAGGAGTCGTATTAAAATATCAAGCATCAATAACTGATAAATATATTAGATTAATTGACCTAAGATAACAAAATTAAACCCTAGTATAGGCATAACAGCTTCAGATTTGTTTAACAGCAATGCATGAAGAACGGAGAAATTATGAGTCTATAGTTACTTACGATGAAGTATTTTCATCCTGTCTCTCCTCACTATCTTCAGTTTCTTCTTCATAGCGTTCAATCTTGCGAGTGTTATTAACATGAGATTGAAATAAACGGATATCATCAACACATGAAGAAGCAGCAAATGACGATGAAATATTGCCACTTATCCCAGATTCAGATAATAACAAAGAACGGCTTGACTGGCTAAATATGCGTGACGACGGTAGAATACTTGATGTAGGTGTCATAATGCCTCGTTGACTTAGCATGATGTCGTGATGATAAAGTGATGAGCCAGTCAAGGAACTGGGAGATGAACTCGAATAGTAAGAAATACTTGTAGCAGAAGAACCATAACCTGGACTTAAATTATGCAATATATCATTTGGACTATGATGAAGATTGTTATAGCTTTGATAGAAGGCACCAGAATTAGTTTCTTCGAATGACATAGACGCATACGACTGATAATGAGGATATTTAGAATGAGAGTTAAGATGATCCCTCTTTCGGTCATGAAATACGCGTGGATTTCGCGATTTAAAAACTGGCTTCTGTTGCTGTTGTTGAGCAGCTGTTGTTGGTAAAAGTAGCTTTGCACTAAGACATTGTTGGTTAGCGCTAGAAGAAGAAGAATGATTATCCCAATTCGAATTAAAATTGACTGGCCCTGATGAATATATTGGACGGTTCCGGTTAGATAATGAATCAATTTGACTATTTGTTACCAACTTAACCCATTCATCAACATTTGTATATTTTAAATCACTTTCGACTTTTATATCACCTTTATTTTCTAAATTTTTTACTGCATTAGTTTTTCGATTGTGACTATCGTTAGTCATTATTGTTGCATGTGTAAATCCCTCGCTATTATTATTATTCCTTCTCGAATTATATTGAACCGTAACCTTATCTTCGTCTTGGTTGTATCGTGCGCTTGCAGTGTTGCTAAGTGAATTACGATCATTTAACAAATCGGAGTTCGAATTTGATCGATCTTGTAATTGCGCAATAGGCTGATCAGGATCGTTTTGATCATCCAAGTCATTATCTAACATTGGCAGATGTCGCATATTAACCAATTTAAGCTTTTGACGATTTGCTACTTTTACATTGTCTTGTGAATGATTGATATGAATATTAGGATTCTGATTGGAGAATTTAGAGGCGTTGCCATTAACCATAATGCTGTCATTCAAGGGAGTAGAATTAGGATTATGGCGATAATGATGATACCCATTGCTCAGTTGTTGTTGAGAGCAGTCACTTAGAGAATGCGTTGTGTTAGTTTCGTTTGCTATCGAGTTCGTATGTGTGGTACTACGCACTTTTACCTTGGTCAGAAGATTTTTATCGTTTGATATTTTTCCATTTTTACAATTAATAAAATGTTCGTTGTCTTTATAAAGCTGCGTACTACCGGTATCAAAGTTATTATTGTCTTGTTTTACTGATCGCAGATTTTTTGTACTGTTGTTTATCGCTGAAGGGCACGGTTTTGTCACTGAATCGATGGTATTAACTGCCATACTACGATCAGAATTGCTATTGAGTTGTGATTGTTGATCAGCTATTGTTGTACTCATCTCTCCATATTCCTGTACTTCTTTCATCTCATCATTGACTTGTTCAATCGTTGAGGATGCACTCGTATGATTACTTTGTTGATGTTGATGATGCACTAATTTACTAATTTTATTACAACCTGGATCGTTAGTCGTACTATATACATTATTTGTTATTTCATTGATTTCATTATAATTAGATTTACTAGGCCCAAAAGTTTGTTGCAGTTGTGTTGAAACTTGTAATTTAGAATTTTTCGTATTATAATCTATATTACCAGATAAGTTACGACTATGATTATGTTGCTCATTAGCTAATCGGCTTACATACGTATTCGATGATGACGAATTAGTTGTATTGATATTACTATTAAAATAGCGATAATGCTTATGATTTGGGTGATCGCGATTTAAAAATGCCACGACATCATATTTTTGAACGAATAAATTCATGATGTGCTGACTATTTTGATGTAATAATTGGGTAATCTCATTTCCTGTCATATCGTCTAATTTAAGATTATTAATTGCTAATAACTTATCACCAATAGATAGCTCACCATCAGTAGCTGCTATAATCTCCGGTACTATTGCGGTGATAATGTGATCGCTGTCAACTTGGATACAATCAGCAAAGGAAATTGCAACAGGTGTAACCGCAATTTTGACATATAGCGGCCTTTTTCGATTTCCAATAACGGTTATTTTCTTTTCCTCTGCCATGTTCCTCATAAACTGGAGTAATGCATTCGGATCGAACGTGCTCAAATCAACTTTATTAATTGATCGAATGTCATCACCCACATAAAGAATACCGTAACTCGGGCTACCCTTATGAACACATGATATTGTTATCCCGTTACGATATGGTGATGTTGAGCACTCTTTCGAATTACGATAAGAGAAGCCAAACTGGCAATTATCCGCACGAACAATGGAACGGCAGAACTGAATATCAATTTCATCATCGGGATAATCGATATCAATTGCAGAGTCGTAGTATAGCGAATTATGCGATGATTTTAAATCGAAAGAGATTGGATTATTTCCTTCAGTATTACTGGTAATTGCAGAATTGTTATCTTGATCAACTTGATACTGTGAATGATAGCGATTGCCCATCGAATCGGTTGTCAACATGTGATCGCGACGTAAATAATGTCTATGACCATCAATACTATTTGCTTGATTATGTATGTATAGATTATCATTTTTATTATAATTGATATTGCTGTTGGTGTCATTCGCATAAAATGTTGATCCTGTATCTTGATGTGATACTGTTGATGAAAGTTCTTTGCCTGTCACTTTATTCGCATGATGATCGGCCTGATTAGTTCTGATTCCATTCGCGAGATAGTCATAATGATGATTACCATTAATTTCCGTATTTTGATACGGAACATTTAATTTTCCTAATTTCTCTTTTCGATTTTTAGTCACATTACATCCAGCATTAACGCCAGAATAATAGTTCGAGTTTTGTATTTCCTGAAGTTTTTGATGCGTAGACCAATCATTATTCGTAATGGTAACAGGTTTATTACTAATACTATTATCAGTTGTTGCCGTTGTAGCTGTTATTGTACTAGTAACCACTGCTGTATCCGATGTGGAATTTTTATTGACTACATCAAATTTATCTTTTACAGGATTAGCATATAATTTGTCATATTCTTCATAACGCTGTAATAATTCTTCATTGGTGTGAATAGTTTCTTTTAAATTAACTTTTAATGCTTCGATACGCGTATTATCGACATGTTTATCACGCTTGAGCTGATCAACAAGTTGTTGCAATTTTTTTAATTCTAATTGCAATTCTTGGCACTGTTTCTCCGCTAATAATTTTTCTTGCACTGAAGTTTGGTATTGTTCCTGAATATTGTTCATATCACGATGAACGATGTCACGCTCTTCCATTATCTTGCCATATTCTACCATAATAATTTCTTTCTCACGTTTGACTCGTTGTAATTCCCTCAAACGATTACTTTGGCGATCATTAAAGTCTTGCCTTTCTTTTTCTCTCTCATTACCGTGCATTCGCAATGCAGACCTTAACGCATCACGTTCACGTATTAACTGCTCGCAATCGCGGTTTTGAGCGGACAATTGATGCTTATAACGTTGTTTCTCTTTAGCTATAAGACTGATTTCTTTCTCTAATTGTTGACATTGAATATATAATTTTTGGTATTTAATTTTATGCTGTTTTAACGTTGATTGTAACAAATGACAGTCACACTGCAATTGATCATGATCGATAAATCCTGAAGGCGAATCATAATTTGATTTATCATTTAAGGATATTTTTTGATGACCGTTAAAACTATTATATACAGGATAAGCTGGTACTTTATTATGGCTATATGTCCAACTATTTACATTTTCATTGTTTATATTAGTACTAGTTGATGTTGCGTTATCTATTGAATGAGAGCCACTGCTATCTTCATGGTTATGAGCAGTTACACCTTGGCCGTACTGTCCCGCTACAGTATTATTAACCGATGGATATATATCGGTATCATTATCTTGACCATGATCAGAACTTTTTATGATCGATGTTTTATTTCCTTCATCTTGTTGTGATGACGCCTGCAACGCAACTGATGATGTGTGTTGCTCTTGTTGAGGCAACGATGGCAGCGGTACTGACTGACGTGTAGAAGATGATGCTTGTTGTTGATGATCAATTGTATTTTTTAAATTATCATAATTTTGATGCCACCTTTTAATTTCATACTTAAGTTGTTGATTTTGTTTTATTAATTCATGATTATGATGAAGAAGTTGTTCAAAGTTATCGTTAATCTCAGATAATTGTTGGTAAAGATTTTCCGAGCGTTCATGATTTAACGACAATTTAGTTGTTAATAATCCCTTGTCATGTTTCAAATCTTCTACGTGTTCAATGGCATTTAAATAAATTCGTTTCAATGTCTCTTTATCCATGGTATCCATCTGTTCTGCAACTTCTTTAGCAGCAATTCTAGCAGACGATTTAAATAGATTCACAATTTGATTGATAGCGTTATGAGGATTACTTCCATAAGTTTGTATAGTTTCTTCAACTTGATGCAAATAACGGCCAGCTTGATCTCGTTCTTCCTTAACTTGAATATATTGTTTCCGTAATTTTTCTAATTCTTGCATCCATGGATTAAGATTATTATTATCGTCATTATTATTGTTGCCATTATTATCGGTATTGCCAATTGAAGCATGAAGAACATGACTGTTAGCTACATTATTAATATTGTTATTAGCATTAAAATTAGTAGCTGTAGCAGTAATGGTATTGTTGTAAGAAGATGGAGTTTGCTGTTGTGGATTTTCACTAGTTACCGTACTAGCCATGACGGATTAGTAGTTATAAAAAGTATTCGAAAATTTTAATTTACCCACCATGTATTAGAGTTGAGAAGTCATCATTATAATATGTTTCATTCAGCTGTTTGAATACAATCGAACCTTACAATTTCCTTTCTTGTACATCAATTCGAATTTCATTGAATTGCTCCAATATGTGTGCTTCTTATCTTATCCGTATGATCGTTAATTTCTTTGACTAACCACAGCTTAGCAATGATTTGAGATATCAAACTGACGAACTTCAACAAATATGTGACAATGATTCATCTTGTGACTAGAATATTACATAAACATAATTTTACAAAAATTGATTAGAACAGGATTAACCATCATTATAGCACGTTATAGTCTTTAATGAAAATCTATTACTGTTTAAGAAAAGTTTCAGTCAATATATTTTGATTTGTCACAACTGAAACATGAGCTTTTAAATTTATCAGGTACAAAACTGCTAGTCAGCATAAGTAATGGTTGCTGTACTGTTAAGGGTAGCATAATTAGTTATTGGAACCTGCTATTATGTTGAAAATTGTATTAAAATAGAATGTGATGAAATTTTTTTAGTCACATGTCATGTGTATTTAATATATCGTGATGTAACCACAGCAGTCAGCGATTGGTGGATAATGCACCATTGAAAGTAAATCAATCAACTAAACCATGCTGTTACTATTGACTTTTACTTGCTTAGTTTATGCAAATGAATTCCTTGTTATCTTCAATATTAGCAATTGCTCGTATGTTCGACTGCTAAGACTCTAATTTTCGTTGCGTTCGTTAGTACAACAGTAACTTATTGTCAATAGATATCAAAAAAGGTAGATAGTAGATTAATCGTTTTCATTACAGGATATATTCTTTTAACGGATACAAGCATAGTTTAACAACTTCTGGAATCAATCTTGGTTAATAAATTTAACATTTCTCAGGATTTTAAAAAACTTAGAACCGATCTTACGTGAAAATCTAAAAATTAATGAAACGATATACGAGTAGTAATACTACTGTACAGACCGATATGAAAATATTTTGTTTTCGCAAATCTAAATTGATTATAGTCTAATTAATACATATGAAAAAAAGGAATGATACCCGTGATAGGTTATGCTAACAAAAGAACGTATTGCAACATGACCAGCAATTATGTTACACTGCGTTATCATACAAATGACTTACATATTTTACAAGAAAATGCTGACTTGTCATGATAATTATATGATAATTATGATTGAAACTAATCATTTCGATATACGAGTATATGTCGCGGAAATATTTAAGAACCTAATATGACGTCAATAATATTAAGAATTTAACCACTATCACAGGTCGAAGTTGATAAGCCTTTTTCTTTGATCGAGTATACAGAAATCATGCAGAAATACATATAATACAGACTGTAGTATCAAAAAATTTATCACGAAAGAGGTAGCAACGCCAGATGGTCCAATTAAGATTTACCAATCACCATTCATAATAGAGTGAGGGCACAGTGAAATTGCATATTATGTAGCAAATTACTTAGGCCACATAAACGATAAGCAAAACCAGATAAATTTTTACCCCTCGACTAAAATGTGGTTCTATGACTTATTTTCATCAATCTGTCTGGCTTAAATAATGTGTATGCAATCATCAGAATTACGAAAGTAGTGATAAACAAATTACTTAATTCTTAGATAAAAGATTGTACGAGCAGATTACAACAGACTCATTAATTATTGCTGACTAAGGGATATTTTGAAGTCAGTTTAGGGTCAAGGTTGTAGCTTGAATCCAGCACGACCGGATACACTATTAACAATATCATAAAGTCCTATGAAGTCCTATGGATAACGCATATAACTTATGGAAGGAATATGCACTATTCCCATTGACTAGCTATGATTTCTTAGCATGTTATACACACGTATGCGTAAAATTACTACGTAATCTGGGTATACTGTACCGTAAGATATATATATTCGCTTAAAATTAACAGAGATTGAGGTTACAGCTATGGTTTGGATATTATATGATTTACTAAATGACGTATCATCCTGATATTACGAACATGAATTATGCAACTTATAGCAATAGTAAATTTTTTGTAGCACATACGAGTATTTCTATCTTTAATAAACATTGATAAAGAATAAAGTCACATAAACATATTTTTAAATTCTGACAATTTTGAATCAAGGTATGGGTATGATCATTTATTACAAGATGCTGCTTTTACTCTAGCTATAGTAACTCTGATTATATTATTTATCAACAAATTAACAACAATAGAAAATTTAGATAGGCACATATGTTGGAATTGATGAGGATTATTAAGAGATACTTCAAAACTTTTTAGGGTAACTGTATCAACTAACACATGCGGTGATTTATTCCGGTATTAATAGTTTTTATGAATTGGTATACGGCATATTAGAGATTGAGTTCTTTTAGAAGTTCATATTTGCTACCTGATACCAGATTTAATGCTATAATATTTCATTATTTCAGTTATTATTGCATAAAAAACTATAAGTTGGCAATAAGATGACAAGAAAAGTATGGAGTTTTTCTAGTATCGTTTGCCAGCCATGATTGTCTTCTGTACTACTACATAGCATTGAACATAAGTTAGGGATGCTTAGGGTTCGATTGATCAACTAATTGTCTATATTTGACAAGCCCGAAATTAGCCGTAATTCGGAAATGACGATCACGTATCACATATTCACATTATCGGAAAAGGTACCAGTTTGTCGTTAGGCAATTCTCGTAATATGATCACTATAACACCTAATAGTTTGATATGTTAGCAAATAAAGCCCTTTAAAATTAACTGTAAATTTGTTTAACTATGCAGGCTAGTTGTGGTTGAAAGAATAATACGAGTAAGATAGAACATGCAACGGTAAGGAACGTGATCCGTTACTGAAAAGAAATCGAAATATAGCAAAAATGCCATTTATCTACAATCAGTAAGTAGAATACAGTAACTCCAAATACTTTAGAATAGCAAATAAAAATTGTTGAACCTCAATTTTTATGTCGACTTGTAGGCTAGTTATAGCTCTTGTACCCTGACCATACCAACCATTTCAGCACAATGAATTATGATTTACTGAATAATGAATTATATATAGATTTAAAAAGTTATCGGAGAAATAATGATACGATTAATTTTAATTCCTTTTAACTGACTATTGATTTAACAACATTGAAAATACTGTATATAACGTTTAATATATTTAAGCCTTTCAGATATAGCATTTTTCCTCATTTTAAAGATACCTACAATCATTCATATTGACAACCCGATATGTTTGTGCGGCAAAGATGAAAGAATTATAGTGCGGTCGTTAGGTCAAGGTTCCGCTCAGATGTGTAGAAAAGCCCTCGATGAAGATTGTGATCCTTAATTGCATGATCCCAATAAAGTGCACAGTGTAATAAATTTAAGATAATATTTCATGTTATCTTAGCATGGACTACTTAGTAGTCTCGACTATTAGCTACGAGTTATCAAAAAATTTGCTGTCTACTCTTGTTGATCATTTGTTGAAACAAATTACGATATCATCAAGAAGCTGGATATTATAATCAAGTTCTTTAAGAGCTTTAAAAGGTTATAGATCGATGAATACATACGCGCGCATAGTCTTATACATTGCGTATACTTGGTAACTAGGTTTCGTAAACAAGCCTTACAATCTTTAATTAATATTATCAATTTTATTCGGATTACAATGTCAACAAGCGGGCAGATAAGTAATCAACTAAATTCTATTTCAAGAACTAGGATGAGAGACTATAGCCCGACTGACATACTCGTATCACGTATAGGCAGATTTTTAAATTACGGTGTTATGTAATAAGAAAAGCTTACTGTTTGCATTAACCATAATTTAACATTCTTAAAAGTAAAATCATCATCCTGTCAATAAGTAGATCGAGAATCAATCGACTGGTTCTGTTATTAATGAATGTCTTACGAGCGGCCGGTAATAGTGGTGGGCAATTGTGTAATTTTATTTTTATTATTCGGATTAAAATTGGTGGTGTATTTTTGACCGCAATGATAACTCACAGCCAGTAATAACAAAGAAGTAATCATATACTCGTACGCTATGTCAGACTATCCTGATTTTTACGTATCTGAGTTTTTCGGAAAAGCTATCGAAAGTTAGCTCTATTGTAACATTTATTAATTAGGGAAAAGATCGAATGTACAGTGGAACTTGAACTTCAACAACTATCATTTTTTTATAAAAAGTTAATTGAATGAGTTGATTAAATCATCCCTTTTATACAGTTACTGTATGTTATCACTTAACTATTCTAGCTAGTGCTTGAGTAAATGTAGAATCGCTTATGATCTGGAGGATACTAGCTAACTTGTTACGGTATGTAATTATAGTAACGACTAAATTGGATATTAATTAATTACCAAATTTGGTTCTTACTCATTATTATTAATCATAATTATCAATATGTTAATCGAAACAAGGGATCTTAAAGGATGAAACATTAAAACACCCATTATTCTGCTATATTACTATACCAAATCTTCTGATGTTTCTTTAAGGTAAATAATAAGTAAAGAATAACAACTACAGATTACAGACAGGCAATCAATGTACGAACGTATTAACAACCATCTAAAATTTATAGTACCGCATATTGGCTTCCAATTTAATGCAAGCATATAACATACGCAATGCACTTGCTTATTTCGCCCTGGTCAATAATTCATATGGAAATAAAATAGTTACGAATTCAAGTTGCCTCTGATATTCTTTGATCAGTACGTAACATCTATAATTGTACGTCTAACTGTCTATCCCAATAAATCATAATTTATGATTAAGCGTATAATTAATTAATACTGAATAATGATAAACCCGTTAACATTTTTGATATCTTTCTTGATTTTGTATTTGAAATCATTGATAATGGCATACGACGGATCGAAATAATTTGATAAAATGAATTTTTTTTACAATTTTGAT